CGCTTTCCGAACACACACACAGACAGCCTCTTGACAATATGCGTTTTTGCTGGCTGTAGCAGCGCTATAGCGCCGCACAGCAAAATCGCATAAAAATAATGCAGATATGCTAAAATAGAGATTACTGTACTTGTCTATATTTCATCCCAAAGCCGTATACAGGAATGGATTCTCAACAGAAGAGAGGCTGAAAATCATCCCTGCAACGTCCCGATCAGGAAATTGGGTACATCACTGAGTTCTACCGTCACAATATGGAAAATTTTACAGAAACCGTACAAGCATGGTAGTTCGAAGATCGAATTTGTGGAAGAACTGTGTGACAAATATATGCATTTCCAGTAAATGCTCCTTGTCCAGCTCTTCCACCGATCGTAGCACCTCGATGAACCACTCGTAATTCTTATGTGTTGCACAGACCCATACAAAATAAACCTGAAATTACTGGGTGCATGGTTCGCCAGTTCCGTTTTTTCCACTGAATCACTTATCTACACGACGTTTCCCGTCATGTCATCGTGTGAATTCATTAATTTTCCGAGTAGTTAATTTCCCGCAAGTACGGATAAGCGATGTCTTCCAGTGCAACACCAAAACATCGAGCGACTGGAGAGACCGCTTAGTACCAGTGATTTTCCGACATGCAGCCAAGCAAATTATTATTATGGTAGGTAAAATGTGAAAGCTCTTATGTACTCAGCTTGATGGATAACTAATAAATCTTTTATATAATGCATAAGTAATCCCAACGAGAAAGAAAAAGAGACACTGAAAAACTTGCTGTTAGGTGACTGATACTGATACGAACATGATCAGTCTAGACTTGCAGAAGCTTATTTCATTCTAATAGGCTGAAACAAAAATTTCATACAGGAAATAGGCAAACCTTTTTACATTTAATATCTGTATGCCTATCGGATAACTTATCGAGTACCAGATCGGTAAGTATCGATGCATATGGTGTCACGCCAATACCACCACCCACCAACACCGCTACTTCGAAATTATGCCAATCCTAAAATGCATTAAAACAAGGAACTAATTATTAAAATTTCCGAACACAACGGGTCAGCAACTGAAGCAAGTGACCTAAGGGAGGGCTACGACACAACTGCGCATGACTGCACGTCCCTCTCCGTACTAGTCATCCCAGCTATTTTGGTACAGTGAATTCAAAGT